AAATAACCTAATCCCCGCAGGTTTATATTAAATATTATTTTTGTTGAAATGAATAATTATTACTGTGTTTCAAAGTTTGATTTAGTTATTGGTTTGTCGAGGAATTGTGAAGTTTTATAGATTGATATCAGAACATTTCTTATTACAATCGTCATCGAGGCAAAGACTTCCAAAATGTAACGCTTCATGCTTTCGACTGTACCAGGCGTTCATATTTTTTATCCTCCATAATATTGCCCCATTGCCCCCCCCCCTTGATATCGTTTCTTTTTTCATCATTATACCAGTCCAGTCACAGGATACAAGAACAGAAACGCTGCTTATGCAACTGGAGAAATCTGTAATTAGAAAATATGTCCTAGTAGAAGCAAATGACGTTCTCCCAAGAATGTACTGCAGTAGGATATGATTTTATGTTAAACAGAATACTTTTCTTGTATTGATAAATGTATGGTATTCCGTTAGGATTACATTACACCACTATTCTGTGGTTACACTGTTACACACCGAATGGATTTCAATCACGAGAAATGTTGAGAAAAGTTGAGAGAGTAAAAAACACCGCCCGAATTTGATCATATATGATTTGCCGCACGTCAGAAAGTGTGGCTAGGAAAATATGACTAACTCTACATAATTAGTAGGGGTTTAGAATAAATCAGTATAAGAATACTCTCAACCAAATTATTGTGTCTGCAGTCGATTGCTACAAATGTGAGAAACAAATTAGACAATTTCTCCTAAAAAATTAATTCAGAACAAAACGATAGAATGATTCGTATTCCATATTTCCTTTTTCGAACATATATCGATTATTATGCTTCATAATATATTCCTCACTGATTGCTCAGCAATGTTCGGACAAATGTCTTGCAACCAACGGAGTTTTTCAGTCGAATTTTCGAATTCGCGTCTCTTGAATACATGAATTTTTAAAATTACCAACGTAACATACAGCGGCAGCTCGTCAGAGGAGGCAAGGGAGGCTTACCCTCCCCATACAATTTGAGGCTATTCATCGCAATGAATTGAAAGATATTGACAAATAATTTTGATTATTTTTCTCTAAAAATGCTTGGGTATCATTACTGTACCATTAATTTTTAAAATAAATACATAATATGCCAGAAAAAAA